GCAAGTAGAAAAATAGGAACCACCTTTGGTGGGAAGGTAACAGCGTTCCGCGTTCCTTCGTCATTTAGTCATGCCGGCCACATGACCATGGAGACGTCTTCGGACAACGCTGGCTCTTCGGCTTTGAAATGGAGATGAGCACCACCCCCTAGAGTTGGGAACATCTAGCACCTATGTGCAAGGGGAACCTTTACCTTTACCTTACAGTAGTGAAATGGTGGAACCTTAAACTCTGAAGTGATCACATCACCCATCATGCTTTTAGAGAATCTACACTTTGTTCTCATAATCTTCTTTTCCACTTTGTATTAGTTTTGTAAAACTTTCAATCACATTTTGAAAAAAAAATTTTGAAAGAAGTTCTTCCTAAAGTATCTGTTTAAAATATTACTTTGCATTGCAGAAGAGGAACAGGGGCTGTTGGTTTAATGTAGGATCCATTGAATTCAGAAAGCTCTTGTTTTTTTTTTCATGGGCCAATCTCTAAAATGCTGTCTTTGAAAGAACCAACTTTGGAAGTTTGGAGGCAGGAGAATTCAATGAAGAATTTCTTCCTTTTAAGATCGGCAGTTTATTTTCATTAGAAATAAATATTTGTAATGGCCTCAGGAACAATGCCCCAATAATATGGCTCTCAAGTCTACCAATTCTATTCTGTGTTGGAGGGGTGAAAAAAGCATGGCTTTCTTATGATATTTACACTATCACAAAATGGTATGATGTGACTGAAGACCGAAGAACCATATAGTCCTGGTGGTGGTGGTGCAGTGGTTAAAGTGCAGTATTGCAGGCAAACTCTGCCCACAGCCTGGAGTTCGATTCTGGAAGGGCTCAAGGTTGATTCAACCTTCCATCGTTCCAAGCGTCAGTAAAATGATGACCCAGCTAGTTGAGGGCAATATGCTGACATTGTAAACTGCACAGAGAGTGCAAGGGTGGGATTTTACCGGTTTGGACCAGTTCGAGCGAACCGGTACCTCCAATGATCAGCCGAAAGCGAATCGGTTCGCTTCGACAATCAAGTGGGCCTGCCGGATCATCCCTGTGCTTTACTGACCTTTATCTTCTCAACTGAGTCACGTCTCAGCTGTTTTCTTCCCCAGCAGTAATGCAGAAGGTAAGTTTTCTCACAACTGTGCACGCACGTCAGTGGTAGGATACGTCCGATACATCCCAGTACGGGCGTACCAGTGCATGCTGGGAGCACCAGGTACCGTTCCAGTACGGTGCTCCAGAGGGCCCACCCACCCGCCTGCTCTCCTTACCGCTATTTCAGCCGATCGGGGCATTTGTGCATGCGCATGGAGCATATGGTGCCTGGGTGATGCTCCGGTGAGCAGCTGGAGCATCTCAGGTGGTGGGTACGCATGGGCATGCTGCGCGTGTGCTGCGTGCATGCACGTGGTGGGCACCTGGACCTGTTGCACCGTACCAGTTGCAAAGGGATCCGGAACCCACCCCTGACGCATGTGCAGCGAAGCATGTGATCACCGAACCGGTTGTTAAATCAGTAGTATCCCCCCACTGGTAAAGAGCTTAGGGATGGTATATAAGCCTAAATGTTATTACTATTGCTACATACCCTGACAACTGTGCATTATGAACAATTAACCAACTATGCTTAAAAATAAAAACAACCCAGTGGATATTGATAGGAACTTTATTTGTGTCTAAAACATGTTGCAAGATACGGCAGCTCATAATGAGAAACCATTGGACATTATTCGCATTTAGTAAACCATTCCTATTTGTTTCCTATTCCATCTATAGGATCTGTGAGGAATGCATGTGTACATGGGTTTTTGCACGGATTGACATGATCCACAGATTCTGACTTTGCATGCATATAGGAACTTAGACAATTAACCTTCAAATTTCACACTGCTCTGAATTTGATGATAGAGTTCTTGGCTCAAAACAGGCACTGAAATGCCTTTAGAATGTATATTTTAATAGTAACATATGTTTTGAAATATGTAATGAGAAACAGGGTTCTTAAAATATGTGTTTTATTAGATAAGCAGTTAATATTTTTTATGTTATAGTATTGATTTTCTTTAATCCCGCGGTAAATGGGGAAATGGAATTGCACTAAGCAGTGATTATACACCTGAGCAAACATATCAGAATAAGTTACAACTGGGTTAATGTTGAGTTGCATTTCAGGCAAATTCAAATGCTGAACAGGAGCACGCATATTCTTGGAGACAGGTCGGATTTTGCTTTACAACTCGGCATGACATAAGTGGCACAAGGGTCCAGTCCAGAATTAAAGCCACAGGAAATAAATAGTAGGGCTAGTAGGTGATCAGCCAATGCTGAACGTGTTCAGAAAATGGGATAGTGGGCAGAGAGGCAGCCTGGACCTTTTAATTCAGAAAGGGAACAATAGCAGTTTTAAACCTTTAAACCCAATAGCAGTTTTAAACCTTTTTTTCCTCCTATGAGACTGGATCAAAAAGAGGGGGGAAAAGAGCATTTGAGATGGTTCCCAAACCTCTCTGTGACATATAATCATGTGTCATAAACACAATTGTAGAGTTTTCTGCACAACTGAAATACAAACTCGATATATGTATAATTGGGTGTGGGTGTCGTAAGGAATTAGTAGTTAAAAAACTGTAGCTCTTTGTTGATTAGAGATGGAGAACAAGGTATTCCGAAACTCAATGGTGAAAAGAGTAAGGTTCTACATTTANTTTTATGTAAGCCGCCCTGAGTCCCCTCAGGGAAAAGGGCGGCCTATAAGTATTAATAAATACTCAAATACTCAAATTATATTTCTTTCTATGGTCTGAACGAAAGAGTCTCTGGTTTTATATGTAGATGCCAATTCTTTAATAAATCCAAATGAAGGCTATAGTTCGTTTAGTTTAGTTTACTTTATTGTCACTGCACCTTGTATAATGAAATTAAATGCCATCTTCAGTCTGCATTATACACAAAAAATAAAACACAAACACACATCCTTCACTTTCTATGCAATTGAATTGAAAACCCTTGATATTGCATTAATATAGCACTATACAGTAGAATTCTATATGGTTACTGTCCTGGGATAGAAGCTGTTTTTCAGCCTATTTGTCCTTGGTTTTATTATCCTGTACCGTCTGCCAGATGGTAATAGTTTAAAAATCGGTGCCCAGGATGAAATGGATCTTTAAGAATGTTTTGAGCTTTCTACGTTAAATGGCAGAATAGTGCAGTTAGGGATACTAATTATCCTTTAACAAGACTATTTTTTTTCTTTTATTGCTATCCAAGCTGCCTCCTTTACCTCCTTTCAGCTTGCTAGTGTGTACTCACCCTCTTTTAGATCTTGTGTTTCTTGTGGCAGGGAATCAAACGTTTTGGCTCCAATGCACAGTAGCTTTTCCACTCTCTCAGCAGTGATATCAAGAGGACTAGGCAGTTTGTCACAAACCATGGCTAATCAGTGCGTTAAGGATACACAGGGATGCAATCTGAGATTTCAGCGACAGTGAAAAGGAAGAAGAGCAGGTTCTGCAGGTAGAACCAGCAAATGCCAACTCTGGCTGGCCCCAGAGCACGGTGGGAATGGAGATTTTGCAGCATCCTTCTCCTGCCACACCCACCAAGCCACGCCCACAGAACCGGTAGTTAAAAAAACCTGAATTTCACCACTGAAGAAGAGGGTGTGGACTATTCAGTAAGAGCAAGGGATCCTCTCTATAAGAATCTTTTTCAAAGTTCATACTTACCCATCAAATCCTAACATAATTCAGAACTGAACAGCTCTGCAGAATCACCCGGGAATAAATATATAAAAATGTTTTGTTTTTGTTTAGACTGTATTCTGACTCCTTTTATTGGGTTTTTTCTCCTTATAAAAGATTCAAACATTTATAAGAAACCACTGATATCTTCTAAATATAAAATCAATCACGAAAGTAACCTTACTATACTTCTAGAAAGGAATTTGAAAGATACCAAAAAGCCCAGGAATGACTTAAGAGATTTAAGGTAAATGAGCAATGGCTGGTTACGCCAATTCACTACTAATTTTTTTTTTTGAAGAGTTACCGTAAATGAATGCTTATTAAAATCAAAATCGAAAGGTAAAACCAAAGAGAGGAAATACAGTACCAGTTTGCTGTGTAAACAATATTTTCCTTAAAGGATACAAAGAACTGCGTCTGATATTGGTAGCCACTGACTACAAATGGCATTGAGCTGAACCTTTGGATCCGTGTGACGTAATTCACGAGCGGCAATTTGTAGTCCTAGAGAGGAGATTATTTTCTCTATTTTCTCTTTGTCTCTGTGCGGGGAGGAGGGGGGGGGGGAGAAAAGACACAAGATATTTACTTCTCACCGAACCTAGGAAGAAAAACAAAAGGGAACTTCTAAATTCGCTAGCCTGTTACACTTATTAATGTGACACTGGAGATGCTGGATCAACCCACTAACCAGGGCCTCATCTGAATTATAGATTTTTTTTCAGATGTAAATAGCCGAAGGCACCAAACCAACATATTTACGGACAATCAGTAACAAAATTCACCTGTCTCTTGAGTGATGCAGAGTAGGCATAGAATACTTCCAACCAAGAAAATGCTATTCAAGGATTTATCTCTTACCTCTTGGTCACTGCCTCGTAGAGACTCCATATATTTTCCAGCACCAGTTGCACAAACAGAGGCTTTTTCCCTTTCAGCTAGAAAAAGAATGCCAAATTAGACAAAACACACAAAGAAGCCTTTATAATACACCAGGAATTATACTGTCATATCTCATACCTGCTGATAACCCAGCTGGTGTCCGGGTATTTATTTATAGGGGTGGGGGGGATGTCCCAAACAAATGTAATTTCTAATGTTGGATTTCCCCCCTTACCAGAGGAAGCCCCCTTGTGTACTGTGAAGCTGTTACCATGGCAATTCCACAGCACTGTACAGTAGAGGCCATTTTACGGCAGTCGAGTAGAAGCCATTTTAAGACACAAAAGGCTGTATTTTAACAGAACACACACCCCAAGGGGTTTTTAGGGGTGTCTTACTCCCACAATATTTTTCTCAAGTGGCTAAGTCATCTGTGTACCAAGTTTGGTTGAAATTGCTCAAGGCATTCCATATATATATATATGTATACTCTGTTACTGTTAAACAGATGCTGCTCACCCTTGCATTGAATCTGGACGTGCTTCTGAATGGCAAAATTACTCAGGCAAGAAAGGGGCAATGTTGCCCACACCATTTTGCTCCCCTAAAAGCGAGGAAAAAAAAGCGATGCCCACATTCTTACCTGATCAACTTTCATGATCCTCTTAGCTTTCATATTTAAATAATAATCTCCCCAGAGAGTCTTCAGCAAGACTGACGGCTTGATTCCCATCTTCTGGCTGTACAACTTAGCAAAATGTTCAATCCTGGGAAACAAAACACAAAAGAAGCCATGGGAGAAAACCATTTCAATAAAGGGTCTTTTATAATAAGGCAGGTGCGTCTACCTGCATAGTAATCAGCTGTTACACTTCTTCTCTAAGGGGATTGAAAAATAGCGTACAGCTACTTTATGGAGAACTCACATAATGCAAGTGTGTAAGTATACACTCTCAACAGATACTTTATTGAAAGGGTATATATTAGCATGCAGGCCACAAACTCTTGCCCTACTTCAAACATGCACATTTGATGGGTGTTGTCTACTGTCTCGATGGGCATACAGGGCTGGTGATAAGTAGACAATAAGGGTAATCATGAGCTCAGCACTTCTAGCTCTCATGGCCACATTGTTCTGACCCAAGAGCATAAAGCAAACTCCTTGTCCCGACAAAAAAAAAGCCTTTTATTAATTGACTGTGAATTCTGCTCATTCACATCCAGCAAAGTCTTTCAAAGGAGGATTTACAGTCACCGACCTTATCTGGCTTGGAGAGCTGCCAGGCCAATATCTACAAAACTTGGCAAGGAGTCTCGGAGAGTCACGAAACAATTAAGCGAACTGATTGTCTCCTGCAAACTCCACTCCCCTTTTGCTCCTCTTTTATTCCCTCTGGGAGGGGCCATTCATCGCCCACCTGTGGACTTATTCCAAAATCAACCCTTGTTCCTTAGCTGGTCCCTTCATCTGGCAACTCTGTGC